AATTAATTTTTTTTTTTTTTTTTTTTTTTTTTTTGTCACAAGACTGACAATTAACATGCTGCTTTGTGTGGATACTGATTCAAAACCGAGAAAAAAAAAATATGGTTTTGTGAAGTTACTCCTCATAATTAACTAGAAAGTTCTTCATATTTCCTAGTGTTGACACCCTGAGTTGGTTCTTTTATATACAGATTAGGAGTATCAGACGCCCTGTGAAGAAAAATAGTCTTGGTCATGAGTAAGTTTTAACTCTTTTACAGTGGCTTTGTATATCTTGTCTCAGCACAAATATCTAGCACACTAATTTACATTGCAAGCTGTGCTGAAAAAAAAAAAAAAAACTAATCAGAGTTTTAATCTATTAAGCAGTTACAAGAAACACAAAAACAGGTGGAGCTTACTAACGTTTAGAAGATTTCACATACATATTTATACACCAAGGAAACATAGGAAGATAAAACAGAACACGACATGATACATGTGCCTCCTCTTACCAAAGTCCATGTCAAGAGCTATCTTACCGCTGAAAACTCAAGAACACATCTAACGACCTTGCTGAATACTATGGATGTAACTTCTTCATTTTATATGTATAGGTACACTGTAATTCTAGCTACCTTAAGCGTTGAGGAAGTCGTTTAGTGACTGTTTGACTCATGAGACTTCTCTTGTTTTGAGCCTTGAGGTTCACTTGAAAACACGCAGGAGAGAAACAACAAAAACAGCCACTAACGTGATGCAGATAGGAATGCCTAGAAACATGAGCACAGATGTTGTCTTGAGAAGGTGGATCATTTGGCAGATCCTTGTGGCTTGATGATAATTCAGTTCATAAATGGGGATCTCAGTTTCTTTGAAACAGGTTCGTTGCTGTACCTATAAAAGAAAGGAGATGGTTTTCAAAAAGGTCTACATAACAATCATAGTAGAGACTGTATCCAAATTATTAGTATTCACCTCTTCGTTTGGTTTGTCTCTAAAATGTTGTACAGAATCAGCCTCAAGGGAATCACATCCGTGTGCATCAAGAAACTGAAGACTCAGTGGGAGTTTTTCCACTGATTTGAGTTTCTTGCAGTTATTAAGACAAAGAGTTACCAATGAGGTAAGATCTCTGATGCTTGATGGAAATGTATCAAAATCATGGCCGCTGAGATCTAAATTTGTCAACTTAGTGAAGTGACTTAGCTGGTCTGATAAAAACTTAACATTGTTGCAGTTTTCAAGGCAAAGCTCAAGCAAACAGTATCTTCCTTGTTCTTCACTTGAGTCAGATAGTTTCACCAATGTTCTGAGGTTCCTACAGTTGGTAAGTGCCAGTGTCTGTACTTGAGTTAGCTTTGGTAACTCCTTCAGCTTGAAGCAGTTTCTAAGCCACAGAGTTTTCAACCGGGAAAGACTAACCATAGCCTCTGGTAAGTTCTCAAAATCATTCCCACTAAGGTCCAGCTTCTCTATCAACTTCAACTGATGAATCCCATGAACCCCAGATGGAATCTTCCGGATGTTTAAGTTCACTAGTTTTAGCTCTTTAAGATCAGGAAACTCTGGAAAGCTGTCAAAGGAGAAAGATTCACCGTTTTCTTTGTGGCTGAACCTCATGATGCTAAGGGAATTGAATCTGTTGCACTCTGAGATGAGCCAAGGTGTTTGCTGCAGATTCATAGACGATGTGGCTGAGATCTGTTGATCAGAGTTAAAAGAAACATATTCAGCATTTCCTCTACAGTTTGAACAAAACTCAAAACTTATCTCTCCACCAATGGATATGTTTATAAGTGCATCCATCTTCACTTTTGCATCCGGAAACTCCAGTCCAATATGTTGCTGCATTGTAGATTTCCGTATAAAAAACCTCAACGCACTTCTAAGGCCTCCACAGTAAGATAACTTGAGCTTCTTTAGTGTAGACCTTTTCCCAATACTCTCTGGAATGCCTTTTAGTCTTGTGCAGTGTTCCAAAACCAGTTCCTCAAGACTAGTGATACCTGAAAGATCTGGAAGTTGCTTGAGATTCTTAGATCCTGTCACATCTAGTCTCTTCAAACTATTCAACATCTAGGCAACAAAGAAAAATAGTTTTAAGTGTTTCTTGCAAGGAAAGATTCATTAAACACCCACAAATTAAGAATCAAAGGAAAGGTTACCGGTGTTCCACTCCAGAGCGTTTCTAAATCACTGTGACGCAGGTTGAGTTCAACAAGAAAATATGGATCAGCATCAGAAGGCAGGGTTCTCAATGGGAATGCATCCCAATGGAATAGCCGTAGGCTACGAGGCAAGAGATGTTGGTCTGGAATGAGTTGCAGCTTTGACTCTCTAGAATCTACATGCTTGTAGACTTTGAGAAACTTTAGATTATGCATATGGCCAACGACACTGGCCTTCATTGACAATGAACAGGTCATCTCACATGTGTGTAGGGACATGCATTCAGTTTGTTCACCTCTCTAATGATAGGAACAAAGACAAAACACAAAGCCAGAAACAGGTCATGTTAGAGTGCTGCCAAACAAAAAGAAGAACAGGTAAAAGAACTGTCTAGATTCTTACATCTCTAAAAGTCAGCGCATGGAAAATATCTTGAGGATCCCTGAGGAACTTTCTAGCCAAAGACCTGTCGTCACGGATCATTTCTCTTGCCATTTGTTCAACCAACTTATGCATGATTACAGATCCGTTGGTTGATATTTTGATGAGAGACTTCTCTGCTAGAACTCTTATCCACAAGCTGCTCTGAGGTATTGGGCCTTGGAGAAGGGAAGTGATACGCTGGAGAGTGTCTCCATTGAAGAGACAAGCAACATGAAGGAATACATTCTGATGTGGTTTTGGTAAGCCTTCGTAGCTAACTTTCAAGATGTCCATTGTATTCTCGTCAAGGCTGCTTTCAAGTGCAGTTAATGCTTCTTCCCACACCTCAGAAGAAGCCTTCCTTCCACGGAGAAACAAGGCATGGGCTTGAATAGCAGAAGGAAGACCGTGAGCAAGCCGAGTAGCTCGGATTGATAGTTGTTCAAAACCATCACAAGTAGGACTCCCTCCTCCTCCTCCTCCTCCTTCAAAAGCAATTTGTTTAAACATCTGGAGAGCATCCTTATCATTCAAACACTTAACCTCATAGACTTTAATTTGTCTACTCCACAGGTGTTGAGCAAGCCCATATCTCTAGTGGTTATGATGATTCGGCTCCCGGGACCAAACCAGTTTCTCTCTTTTGCCAAGGCATGTACCTGCGCCACTTTATCCACACCATCAAGCACAAGAAAAACCTTTTGGTGCCCAAGTCTCTTCTTTATCTCTTGGCATCCAGCTTCCACGCTCCATAAGCTAATATCATCACAGAGGATACTACAGAGCATTTCTTTCTGAAAATGCTTTAGATCATAGTCATGATCTTTACCAACACTCTTAATGTTTTCTATGAAACAACGAGCTCTAAACCTAGGTGAGAGCTGGTCATAGAGACACTTGGCTATTGAGGTTTTCCCAATTCCTCCCATTCCCCATATTCCTAACATAATAACCTCATTAGACTCCAGTTCCAAGAGATGATTAAGACCTTCTATGTGAGCTTTCATCCCAACAATATTCCCTGAGTCTATCTTTTGCATCAGTGTCACACGTCTTGATATATCTCTGGCAATTTCTCCAACCATAACAGCCTCATCAACGCTAAATGAAAACAACACACACTAATGCAACTTCAAGTTTTCAATATAGTAGAACCTATATAAATTAATATTCGATAAACTAATATACACTAAAAATCTCTATAAAATAATATAATTTTACAGTCTCAAATTGAGTTTTTGGTTCAGTTAGTATATCGATAATTTAGTAATATCTATAAATTAATAAAAATATAGTTTTGGTGTAGTCCCAACATTATTAATTTATAGAAGTTTCACTATTCTTACAAATATACTCCATCTGTTCCACTAAGATAGATGTTTTAGAATTAAAATTTTGTTTAACAAATATAGATGTTTTTATGTTTCTATGTAGCAATTTTAAATTTCAAAAACATTAATTGAGTTTTAGAATTACTAAAAGTTATTGGAAATTGATAATTACAAAAAGTGAAACATTTATAATAGTGCTTAATGTGTGTTTTAATGTGTGAAGAGAATAGAGGAAATATATTTCTAAAGAAAGGAAGTAGTATATTCTTGTAACTATATATGGTAAGAATAGCTTACCAGTGTCTTGAGTCCACACCTGAAAGGTTAGCTATTAGGTTAAGAGCTTCTTTCCACTTGTGAACCTTGTCCACCATTTCTGGACGACCCTTGTACCTCTCTAAAGAGAAACTCCCTAGCTGATGCCTGACGGTGGAAGGATCTACTCCATAGAAGACAGGGAAGACTTCAAGTGTTCCTTCCTTCATAAACTCCATTATCAACTGAAGTTCCATTAAGCACCACCTCGAGGTAGCGTAGTTCTCTGAGAGAACCACAACCGCGAAGCTCGAACCCTTGAGAGCTATGTGGAGTTGGTCTGAAATGTGATCTCCTTTCTCAAGTCTTTGGTCGTCTTTGAATGTAACAATTCCCCTGCTATCAAGTGCTGCGTATAGGTGGCTGACGATGGTTTTGCGAGTGTCTTCTCCTCTGAAGCTGAGGAACACGTCATACTTGGATACAAAAGAAACAGAGGAGGAGGAGGAGGAGGACGCCATTGTTGAAGTAAAACAAGGTCGTGGAAAGGTTTATTCTCTGGTGGTTATTGCATTATGGACCATGACTTTAGATGTGATGTGAGAGCAGCTTTGGTTATTTCTGAGTAATTGTTGATGGAAGAAAAATCATTCCATGAAAACATTATCTTAAAATATATTTTCCTCATAAAATATCATTTTATGCTAATGGTTGACTGACTTTACAGTTTACAAGTCAATGCTAAGTGGCTTCATTCTCTACCTCCTGCACATGGGACTCACTTTAGTATTCACACACAGACACAAAAGATAGAAAGTCATATTTATTAAGTTGCTGCTTAGACAAGAAGTGAACAAGAAACCAAATGTCTTCTTCTTATTCTTTTTTGTTGGCTGGGAGAGAGTTAGATGTGTTCTTGAGTTTCAGCGGCAAGAGAGCTCTTGACATCGACTTTGGTTATGATTTGTCACGAAATGGCATCAAGTCTTTTAAATCAGAAAGCTGGAAGGAGAAGAGTTTCGAGCCTATTGATACACAAACACACGAGGCTTTGACAGAGTCTAAAGTAGCAGTTGTCATGACCTCTGATGAAGATGTTTCTTCCGTTGGGTTCCTTGAAGAGCTTCTTCTAATACTCGAGTTTCAAGAAAAGGGCTCACTCACTGTCATACCAATCTTTTTAACAAAACATCCTTTGGATATAGAAGAAGTCTCTCAACTGTTTCCAGAGAGAGCCAGGATCTGGAGGGTTGTGATTGCCAAGCTGGAAAACATAGCTTCACAGTATTCACTTTCTAGGAATCTTGCGGTGATTCATGGAACGCATCGGATCAAGCAGGTGGCTGATGACGTTAGGCTTATGTTTCTCTCTTGTGCTTCGAGTGAGTTCAAAGGTCTAGCAGGAATGGATCGTCATTTGAAAGCGTTTCATGAGTTGTTGGCTTTGGAATCTGACAAAGGAGTTCGGATTGTTGGCATTTGGGGTTGTGCAGGTGTGGGAAAGACAACGCTTGCAAGGTATGCTTATGCTGAGATCTTTTTAAAGTTTCATACACATCTTTTTATAGAAAGCGTTGGAAACATGAAACAAAGGCTTTTAGAAAACTTTGAAGTGGAAGAAGAAGATCTAACAAGTTCAGATCATGAGAGGAATGAGATTACAGAAGCAAGAAACAAACACCGGAAAGTTCTCCTTGTAGCTGATGGTGTTAATGACAGTGAACAAGGGAAGTGGATTGTTGAGTATGCTAACTGGTTTGCTTCAGGAAGTAGAGTCATTTTCATTACTCAACACAAGAGTGTTCTTGAGGATTCAGGAGTGAATCATGTGTACGAAGTTGGGTGTTTAAGATATGATGAAGCTCTTGAGCTCTTCTCACGCTTTGCTTTCAAGCAGCCATACCCTCCTCCTGAGTTCGAACGCCTCTCAGTTCGTGCGGTCCAGCTGGCAGGGTTTCTTCCAATGACCATTAGACTGTTTGGGTCTTTTTTAACTGGTAGAGGTAAAGAGGAGTGGGAAGCTACACTGCGTAAACTAATTGCAAAGCAAAGTAAAGAAGCAGTGGAAGTGTGGAAGATTATGGAAGCAGCAGAAGATGAACATATTTTGGAAGCATCATTACAAAGATAAAACCACAATAGAAGTAACAGGAGAGGAAACACATGTACCATGTACGTAGTCTTCTGTATTATAATAAAAGCTTGGTGTATAATATGAGTATGTGAAAGCTTCTATAAACGTTAGTATCAAAAGCTCCACCTGTTTTTGTGTGTTTTTGTAACTGCTAAGTAGATTAAAAATCTGATTAGTTTTTCAGCACAGTTTGCAGTGTAAACTAGAGGTGCTAGATATTGGGATGAGACAAGACTATTTTTCTTCACAGTGCGTCTGATATCTTTAACAATGTCGTAATCTGTATCAGGGGGGCAACACTTTTAAGTCAGTATCCACACAAAGCATCAAAGTCGTTGTAGTTAATCTTTAGTTTATCTGCGTAACAAGAGCGTGAAGTTGATAATTTGTCTTTGTTTAGCTTAAACGTTCTGATTAAGCACATGAGTCGTTGTAGTATAGTGGTAAGTATTCCCGCCTGTCACGCGGGTGACCCGGGTTCGATCCCCGGCAACGGCGTTTTCTTTTTGTTTTTACTCAAGAAATTTGAATATTTTCAGGAAAAAGTACAAAAAAATCAATAATGGCTTCGCCCGGGTTCGAACGAGACCTTCAGTGTGTTAGACTGACGTGATAACCAACTACACCACGAAACCTTTGTGCTTATTTATGCAACACATCAAATTTTAGATGTTCCAAGTATCATTAGTCTTGAGGAACTGATTCTGGAACACTGCACAAGACTAAAAGGCATTCCAGAGCTTATTGGAAAAAGGTCTAGCCAAAGAAGCTCAAGTTATCTTACTGTGGAGGGCTTAGAAGTGCCTTACGTTTTTTATATGGAAATCTATACAATGCAGCAACATATTAGACTGGAGTTTCCAGATGCAAAGGTGAAAATGGATGCACTAATAAACATATCCATTGGTGGAGACATAAGTTTTGATCTAACTGTAGACATAGTATTAGCTTTGAAACTGCTTCAAGATCAAGGAGTTTCCAGAGCTAACTAAGGTGCAGACACTGACACTTACCAACTGTAGTAGGAACCTGAGATCATTCGTGAAATGATTTTGCTTGTGCCTTGAAAACTGCAACAATGTTGAGTTTTTGTCAGACTAGCTCAGTCATTTCACGAAGTTGGGATTTTAGTGGCCATGATTTTGATACATTGCCATCAAGCATCAGAGATCTTACATCATTAGTAACTCTTTGATTCAATAACTGCAAGAAAAACTCAAACCAGTTGAAAAACTCCCACTGAGTCTTCAGTTTCTTTATGCACACGGATGTCATTCCCTTGAAGCTGACTCTGTATAACATTTTAGAGACAAACCAAACGAAGAGGTGAATATATTAGTACTGTGGATCCAGTCTCTACTATCATTTATGTAGTCCTTTCTGAAACCATCTCCTTTTTTTCAAGAGAACACCTGCACTCATGTTTCTAGGCAGTCCTATCTGCATCACGCTAGTAGCTGTTCTCGTCTTTTTTATCCTGCTTGTTTTCAAGTGAACCTCAAGCTTCAAAACAAGAGAGGTCTCAATAGCAAGTCACCAAACGACTTCCTTAAAAGGTATCTGGAGGCAGAACAAACTGAATGCATAAAAGTCAAGTACTGAACTCCCAGTATACTAGATTACAGTGTACTTAAAAATACATGTTTAATGAAGTTACATCAATAGTATTCAGTAGAAACTCCTCACTTTGCGCCATTTGAAATAAAAGCATTTCTCACTTGACGATATTTAGGAGTCATAATAATCTCACTAAAGTCAAACGCCATAAAGAGACATTCATACACACCTACCTACTCTTTGTTAAATCTAAGGTTAAGAGATAATGCCATATTTTGTATTTTCTAATTAAACTAAACGTGTGGACTAATCATGGATTAAGATCATTGACTTTTGGGTTGGAACCTAGCGAGATGGATTATCTGACATGGCCAACAACGTTAGCAATCGAATAAAAATAGTATTGAAACAAGCAGATAGCAAAAGAAAGAAAATAAATATTATGTTTTTGGTTGTTCCAAAGTTTTGGATAACTACTACACTCTGTTCTTAGCTTGACTTGTAATAAAGCAATTTACTTATAAAAAAAAGTTAGGTGGTTGGATAAAGATAATATTGTAAGTGCTTAAAGATATAAATGAAGTTCAAAAGAAAATATATTAATGAAGTAAGGTCAGAGAGAGAGAGATGAGACCAAGGCATCAGAAGACATACATTTATACATGCACTGATGCACAACTCTTTGAGTATCTATCTGATTCACATGGATAAGAAAGATTCATTTACTACGTCTTATTCAACTCCACCACACCTCAACAGTTCCATCTCATGGGGACTTCCAACTCAATCGAATGTTCACAGTTCTGCTGTGACTGAATCACTTAGTTTGAAGTTGCATGCAAGATCAATACATGTTCTTAACCAGGATTCTTCTTCAACCCAGTCCACTGATCAGTTTTCTACTGAATTTGCATCTAACGGAGATGATGATGCTGATAACCCTTCGAGGAAAATCTCATTTTCAACACAATCAGGTCCGTTTTTAAAGAACTTATGGGGTCTATTCGGTTCTTATTATTACTGTCGATAACATGTGCTGAAAAGTACTAGATGACATGATACTTTATGTTTTGGCCTGATCTCTGGTAAATCTTTTGATCTTCAAGACCATTCTTGTGATCTTAAAAATATTATCTCGTCTCTCTTTTCTTCTTCAGATGTTTGTAGTGACTTTGAAGAAGCTCAAAGGAAGGGATTTACAAATAATATAAGATTAGTCTCCTCCTCCTACACGACAGGAATCTCAGATATTCACTTTGCTCTTGGGAAGGTATTTGTAAACCTATAATAAGTAATGATAGACAGAACTTAATTGTGATGGTTGACTGACATCTTGTGTCATACTCTGGTTCCAGCCTAACTTCTCCTTTCATTATGCTGATCCACGTTTTAGTGGTTACCTACCACATGCAACAGTAAGTACTATCCTTCTTGAGTCATGTGGTGAAGAATGTTATTGCTAAAAGTACACTTGAAAACTTTCTGCAGGTATGGAAACCCCAAATGGTGGGTCGAGTTCCCCTACCACTGGACTTAATTAACAATGAGCCTGTCTTTGTCAATGCAAAGCAGTTCCATGCAATTATGAGGAGGAGGCAGCAACGTGCAAAGCTAGAGGCTCAAAACAAACTAATCAAAGCTCGTAAGGTATAGTATCTCACTTGGAGTTTCACCTGACTCTCATTCTGGTTTAACTCATTATTGATGCTATTCAGCCGTATCTTCATGAATCTCGACATGTTCACGCTCTTAAACGACCTAGAGGATCTAGTGGAAGGTTCCTGAACACCAAAAAGCTCCAAGAATCTAAAGAGCCAAAACATGACACGTCAATCCAACAGAAGGACACCAAGGGAAACATGTCTAGATTCGTGGGTCACCAGTTGCAGAACAGCAAGGAGCGTTGTGGTTGTTCAGCCACATCTGGCTCCGACATAACCTCTGTTTCTGACGGCATTGATATCTTTGGACACTCTGAATTCCAGTTATCAGATTGTCCATCTCAGACAAACCCAACAATGTATAAGCATGGTCAACCAAATGAAATGCATGGAGGTGGGAACACGCACAACTTCTCTGTCCATATCTGAGACGGTTGGAATCTGGTGCTGTTTATGTTCCCACAAAAGGAAAGTCATCCTTGGCTGTTAGTTCGCTTCTTCTTGGCACTTATTTCACGTTTTGTTGTTCAGGCATCCCTTGAACAGTTGAACATATAAAGTAACCTTAAAGCTTCAGATCTTGTTGTCTTTTGTACCATGAATCATGTGTAAGTAACTCTATTATTGGATTAGGATGTGTAAGTGGCTCCCTCCTATTCAACAGCCGCATATCCTCAAAACTAGACCCTTCCATATGATAACTTTCACATTCAGCAATTTCAAATGTCAAAATGTGATTTAGCAGTTTCACAATTTGATGGTTAAGTATGCTCACAAATAACACACTCGCAAACAGCAGTAAGATACAAAAAAAAACAAGGTAAAGAGATCTATGTAAATTGCAATGTATGGATAAGAATTAAATTTTCATTAGTCATGACAATAACAATTCACAAATAACAGTTGCAAACTTGCATTGTAGTTTATAAAAAAAAAAGGTTTTCCTGCCTATTGTACCCATACTAATTGCAGAATATAACCAGAAAGCCACTGGCAAAGAAAAGCCTATGTACAGGCTCTGTTTCTATAGAACAACACTGATCTCCTAATCTGAAAAAAAGTCCTAGAGATCATGGCTTCGGTAAAAGACGAGTAGTGTGACTACTTCAGTCTGACCTTTCCAACAAGAACATGAAGCTGGTGTTTTGGCGAATCAAAGGAGGAGGATCGATCTCCGCAACCTCTACGTTTGGCATCGATTTCGAGATGTCTTCAAGCGAGAATGGGATGCTGTAAAAGTAATAACCAAGACCAAAAAAAATTATCAAAAGATGAAATCTTTTAAAGTGAATCCTTACTGTTTTTTTCTCCTAGTAAATGTTTTACCTCGAATCGTCGTCTAGTAAAAATGACTTGTTGGTATCCTCTGAAACCGTTTGCCGCATGCTTGCCATCACCTGCATAGCGATTTTTTTGAGTCATATCAAATTTTTAAAGAAACATACTTAACTCTGCTGTTTCAACTTCAGATTATTGACTTGCCTCTAAAGATACGCTATGTGTGCCGTATTTGTCGTCCGAATACATAGTACTGATCCTGTAAAGTTGCTGCACCGTAAGCACCTGCAGAGAAACAAGAAATTTGCTTAAGAGTAACACGAGATGAACAGATGAAGAAAAATATTTTTTTGAAGAATATTATTGACTAACCGGACAAAGTTCAGAAGTTATCTCGTGTAAGCTTTTCTTAGGCTTCTGATGTATAACCAAGAAGCCAACAGCTTGTCTGATGTGCTTTAGTTCATCCCAAGCCGAACCAGCAAACTAGAACAAACCGAGAGCATCTTTTAATAAGCAAACTATCGGAAAAAAAAGCAGAAGAGGATTTGAGATATCTATTACCTCCTCAGTTGCATCATGGCACCACTTTTCAAGCTCTGCAAGCCCTGTTTTTACATACTCTCCGTTGCTAAACGAGCAGCATTCACGTCTCAAAACAAGGCTACACATAAAATGGAAAAACGTAAGTGGACATGTTCAATACAGCAGCACAGACAGTTGCAACTACAGCACATTTACCTGTTAAACAACTGAACATTGATAAATGCAAATATCTGCCCGAACACTTTAGAAATTAGCAACGAAGGCACCTGCAGTTTTAGAAAGGTTCAAAAATTAGTGAGAGCAAACACGTAACAGCTTTGGCTGAAAATTTTATGTTCCTCACATAGTTGGCCCTCATAGTCCTCAAGTGGCCGTTTAGACATGTGACAATGCTTTGCCAATGGGCACTTAGCGCTTTTTGAGCTTCAAAATTATTATGTGAGCGCCCTTTTATTAAACCAGAACGGGGTTGCCTTGGTGCCTGTTTCCATCAAACAGCAAATCAAAACCAGACTCAGGACTCAGGGGAATAGATTATATAATTTGTGAGACCTACTAAAGCAAATGCCTACCTGAATGCAAACAGCAAGCAGAGGCGCAATCTCTCTCTTCATACGGTCTCGGATCACACCATAAATCTTTTCTAGGTAAGCGGTGAGTTGCTGCTTGAAAAGCAAAGCAGGATACTTAGCTTCCACTTGACGTAGTTCGTCTAACCCACCACCAATCGCCCTTCCATTCATAAATGGGAATCCACCACTTTGTGGAGAACCTAAGAAACCCTATTATGCAAAAAATAGTTCCAGGTGAAAAAGTGAGATTAACGGGATTAAAGCAATTTAAGAGAGACATGTAAACAGTTCTAATCACCTGAGATACCCGTCCAAACAAAGATGTAGACATGGCCCGATGTCTCGAGGGAGGTATGTTACCGGCTTTCAAAGTGCGTTCAAGCAACATTAAAAGTGTGGCGGAATTGGATAACCAATAGCATAGTACATCGTCGTTTTCCTGCATCTGTAAAAATTGTAAAATATAACATGAGACCACCCATGCAGCAGGAAAGAACATTTGCATTGGTATGAAAGAACATTGTGAAACTACCTCGATGGCGGATGCTACTGTCTCGATTATACGATTAAATATATTGGTCCTTTCTACTTCAAAAGATCTCCAGTGTATCAGACACTTATATATCAGACAGGCAGCAACAGGCTTGCCTTCAGAAAATCCTATATCTTCCGAAATAGACTTTAGTAATAACTCCTGATTTTCCTGCAAATATAATGAGTTTGCAAAATGCATGACGACAAAGAACAGCACACACGAATAAAATATGTGACAGGACTTCAAAGTGATAGCTACCAGCTGTTTCTGATTAAGCGATTTCTGGGGCCTATCCTCAGTTTCAGGTTCCTGGAGAAAATGATCAAGTATTAAATCTCCATCACTGTAAATGGCACAAAGGGGCAGGGCTTAATTTTTTTTATTAACATACCTGAACTTGTTTTGTTTCTCCATTGGAGAAATTAAATCTCTCGGGAGTTCTCTGCATCTTCAAGGAAATACGAAAGATGTCATATGCAAGGCTAAGAAGTTAAATGCAAAGACATAGCCAGTGTCCACTAGTACCTGAATTATGGTAGTTTTTGGTCTTAGGGCCAAAGCTCTAGTGGCTGGTGAGGCAGCAAGAGATTGTTGCCGGAGTACCTTATTCTCTGACTCCAAATTAGAGACTTTTTCTTGGAATCTAATTTAGACGAAGAAAATCTTTGTCAGACTTCTTATTTTAGAAAAATATATTCACTAAGTGCAATATATGATACTATTAAAAAACTATAAATGCACCAACTGAGAAAAAGAGAAGCTTATTTACCCTAGAAATTGTGCATATAAGATAATAAAAAAATTGCATCCAGAAAACAGTATAGGGGAGCATATTTGTATATAGAATATAGCGAGAAGCAAATAAATCACGGAATTCAAATTTGCTGATGAAAACACACCTCTGAACAGAATCTTGAAGCTGGTTTATTTTTCTTCCAGCTTCGTCAAGTCTCTTACTTAATTCCTCATTCTGGACTACTGCACTGCGATAAGCCTGCTGTGCTTCATCTGCCCTATGTGTTTCTGATGACAACATTCCCTGCATAGTTAGGACCATGTCCAGATTTCCGATTAGCAGCATGAACAATCAAATTTGGAGGCTAACACCATAAAGCATTTACTTCCTTAAATCCTGAAACATTATTTTGTAGTCTACTGCGCAATTACATCTCCAGTATATTTGGATATCTAGATGTCAGTTATTTACCTTTAGCTTCTCAATTTCGTTGCTCAAAGAATTGATTTTCTCTGTATCTTCAACAACAACAGGTTCCTTTTTTACTGAACTTGCTTCATCAATTGCTATTCGAGCGGCCTCTTGTTCCTTTAATACCATTACAGTAGCCTCCTTCAACTGTGACCGCATGGTGTTCAAAGCCTCTTGCAGCTTTGCAACTTCTTGCACCTTTGCCTCCTCCAAATCAGTCTGCTTATCAGTAAAAATAAACCAATATAACCCAAACTTAGCAACTAACTTTGCACACCACAATCTGCAAATGAGTTAAACCCAAATATATTTCCAAAAGAAAATTAGACATTAAAGCTACCCTCAATCGCTTCTCCAATTGCAAACGCCAGGTAAGCTCTTCCACTCGCTTCTCCAATTTATCTTTAGCATCTTTAAGAGCACCAGTTTCTCTTGCAGCCTAAATCAATATCAACATGAGAGTGAACAGCTGAATAAGTAAATTCATGCACACTGTATTAGAAAGCAAAGAAAAAGTTATAAAGGATTGAATCCAACCAATTTCAGCATTCTTAGCTCTCTCCTAGCAAGTCTGCATCTCCAGGCACACTGAGTGACTATTGCCGCCTTCTTAAGTCTTGTGTAATATGCGTATGCTCGATGACCACGCCAATGAGCCTAAAAAAAAGATATAAGAATATTCTATGCATCAAAAGAACAGTCACCCAAGTTTGCTTATTTCCCTCTCCGCAATAAGGACAATGTGATATACCTGAATCACAATGGCAGCTTTTGTTTGTCTTCTTAACCTGAATTCATTACGTGCAATCATGCCCTTAAAGCCAGTCTGTAACACGATTGCAGCTGATCTGTTGGTGACAAAAGCTTTCCTGGCGATGTACCGGCGGAAATTCTTCTGGAATCTTAGAGCTGCAGCTTCTATTATCAGATTTTTGTGTACGGTCCGGGCAATCTCGCCTGCAATTCAAAAAATATTCAACACCTTTAAACTACCAGCCACCACCACCAAAAGAAAAGGAGAAGAAGTGAGCAAGCAGAAAACAAGCAGCTGGTCAAAAGAAAGGATTACGCTCCAAAAGATGGAAATGTAAGGAGGTAATGATAAAGTTAACGGGTAAGCCTTATAGTTCTGAGTGAACAGCCTAAAACATGGCGGAACAATTGCAGCATTTCGAATACTGATGCGCAGAAAATACCTCGTAGGAAGGATTGCAATACAATTGCAGCATTTCGAATAGCACGGAATTTCTTTCGCGCAATCCAGGTGCGGAACTGCCTCTGGATGACTCTGGCAGCATTTCCAAGCACCTCTGCTCTCCTAGCATCTAATTCAGCCATCTGACCAGCTCGAAGGAAAATCTTCGTCTTTCCAACCTGGGAACAACATGGTAAAGGTACGTATGTGATCCCTGAACAAAATACTGACAATGATAATGAGAACGATGAAAATGATACTTCTTTTCTTTTGGAACAGGTTATGATCGCAGAGGATCAAGACCACGAAATGAACTGGAAAGAGAAAACTTGGAAAGAAAGAAGCAGGCCAGAATTAAAAAAAGCATATCACACCTGGTAGT